ATTATTGATTTGAGTCCTTTCCTCTTTTCTAATGTGAGCATTTGAGGTACATTTAGTTCCCTCTTAGGACTGTATTAGTTGTGTTATTGAGAGGGATGTTGAAGCCTCCACAGTATTCATGGATTTATTTATTTTTCCTTTCAGTTGTATTAGTTTTAGCTTCACATTATTTTGCAGCTCTGATGTTTACATGTGCATGCACATTTAGGTTCACAATGTCTCAGTGAATTGACCCTTTTATCATTATGTAGGATTCCTCTCAGTCTCTGGTCATTTTCTTTGTGCTGAAATATACTTTATCTGATAATATAACAACTCTGTTCTCTGTAGATTAATATTTGCAGGATGTATCATTCTTATATCATCAGTCTTACATTTTCAACCTGCCTGTAATAATTATATTTGCAGTGAATTTTTTCTAGACAGTGTATAGTTGAATCATTTTAAAATCTACTCTGCCAATCTGTCTTAATTGGTGTATTCAGATCATTCACATTTAACCTATTTACCAATATATTAGGGCATAATTGTTTTCTGTTTGCATCTCTGGTTATTATTTCTGTTTTCTTTTTCCTGCTTCGTGTGTTACTTGGACATTTTCTTTAGAATTATATTTTGATTTATATATAGTTTTTTAAAGTATATCTCTTTATATAGATTTTTTAGTGGTTGTAACAAGACATTACTTTATATAGACATGATCTGCACAGTGTCTTGGTGGTGTCATTTTACCAGTTCAAGAGAGCACCTATTCATATTCTGTATTACCTTTCCTTATATAATTGTCTTAAGTATTTCCTTTACATACATTTAGAACCACATTAGACAGTGTTAGAGTTTTTGATTGAGTCAAACATAATTTAGAAAACTCAAGAGAAAGAAAGCATAATTATTTACTTTTTTTTGAATACTATGTTTTTGCTTCTTTTCATATGTTCCAAAATTTCTTCTTCTATGATTTCCTTTTTGTTTAGAGAACTTCCTTTGGGCATTTTGTTAGGAATAAGTCTGCTAAGAAATTCCCTTAGTTTTCCTTCACCTGAGAATGTCTGGATTTCCCTTTCATTCCTGAAGAATGTTTTTACTGCTTAGGATTCTAGGTTGATGGTTGTTTTCTTTCAGCACCAGAAAAGTGGTGTGCCACTTCCTTCTGGTCTCTGTGGTTCCCGATAAGAAATGTGTTGTCATTCTGCTTGGTTTTCTCAAAACTGTAAGGTCTTACTTTTCTCTGACTGCTTTCAAGATTTTTTTCTTTGTCTTTGGGTTGCTTTGTCTTTTAGGTTTTCCTTTAGTTTAGTTATTATGTGGATTTCTTTGAGTTTATCCTCTGGCATTCACTGAACTTCTGGAATCTGTGGGTTGCCACTTTTGCCAAATTTGGGAGGTTTCTAGCCACTCCTTGAGCCCTTTTTCTTCTTTACCCTCTCTCCTCTCCTGCAAAGACTCTAATGACATGAATATTAGACTTTTTGTTATGGTCCCACAGGTCCCTTTTATTTATTCATTTTTTTTCCTGGCCATTTTTTCTCTGTCATCAGATGGGATAATTTTTGTTTTTCTGTCTTTCAGCTCACTGATTCTTTCCTTGGCTGCCATCCTTCTCCTTTTCTTTTTCTTTTTTCTGAGATAGATTTTCACTGTGCCTCCCAGGCTGGGATGCAGTTGCATAATCTTGGCTCACTACAGTCTCTGCCTCCTGGGTCCAAGTGATTCTCCTGCCTAAGCCTCCTAATAGCTGGGATTACAGGCGTGAACAATCACACCCGACTACTTTTTTGTATTTTTTAGTAGAGATGGGGTTTCACCATGTTGGCCAGGCTGGCCTTGAACTTCTGACCTCAAGTGATCCACCCACCTTGGCCTCCCAAAGTGCTGGGATTACAGGTATGAGCCACTGCGCCTGCCTGCCTGCCTGCCATCCTTCTACTCTTGAGCCCTCCCAGGAGTTTTTTATTTCAGTTACTATGTTTTTCAGTTTCAGGATTTTCATTTGGTTCTTACAGCTTCTGTTTCTTTGCTGTCTTTCTCTTTAATTCAAGTGTGCTCATCATTTCTTGTCAAAGCATTTCATATGGCTGCTTTAAAATATTTAAATTTGGGATAATTCTAACATAGCTGTCACCTTAGTGTTGGCATTTCTTGGTTGTCTTTGTTCATTCAGTTGGTGACTTTCCTGGTTATTGGTATGATGTTGATTTTTGGTGGAAACTCAGGTGTTTTCATATTCTATTGGATGACTCTGGGTCTCATTTGAATCTTCTCTCTCAATTGACTTTGCTGACAGTGCTTCAGTGGGGGAAGAGGGTCACCATCACCACCTCGTTACTCAGGTGGAGACAGAAGTCCTCAGCCTCCACTGATGCCTCAACTGGGGAGGCTCCTCATTATGGGCTCCCTTCCCACTGGGTCACAGTAAAAACTCCTCAGTGCCCCCTGACACATGCTAGTATGGAGAGATCCTCATTACTGCTGGTGGGATCAAAGACTCAGTTCCTACTTGGTGTCTTACAGTACCACCCTGGCTGGGGTATGGGGTACCTTGCAAGGGTGGAAATCCAGCCTTTGCTTACTTGGGGTAGGTTGCAGGCTTTTCTTTGGGTTTTGGCCAGAGTAGGGCAGTTCTTGTCTTGCTGGGCTGCTCCTTTCTGGTTCTTCAGTTATGGAGAGTAGCTTTTTGTTGTTGTTTTTTGATTGTGTACCCGCTGGAGTTTTTAGATTACCAGTTTTTCCCGTACCCACTCAGGGATAGTGAGACAAAAAGCCTGGGAGAGGCACGATGGTGTCTTTCCTTGGGTCCTGGGTCCCTGGCCTACTTGCCTTCTTTTCTCCACCTTTCAGAGTCTTCCCATGCTTGTCTTGCACATGATGGTTCCGGGTTTATAGTTTTACTTTGCAGGAGGAACATGGAAATCTACATCTACCCCATCGTCTAGGAAGCAGAAGTTTCAAGACACTGTTTCTGAAACATCTTCGGGTTGAAGAGCACGCCCAGACCACCAGCAGCTTCTTCCTAGAGGCCAACCAGAAGTACAGCTTCTGGCTTGTCTGTATCACAATGGAAGGCCGAGTTTAACTGGAGAGGAGGTAGCTCAGAGGAGTAGTCGCTCATGTGGTCACTTTTATATGAGGTCCAGAGCCACGTGTGTCCTCTGGGAGGACCTGCATAGGAAAGAGGCCCTGTGTGCAGGGCTGCTTGAAACAGAACTTGGGCTCCTCTTTTGGGTCCTTACAGCCCAGCTCAGATCCTGCATGTCAACAACAGATACCTGTTTCTCCTACCTCCCTCCAAATGCCCAGCAGCTCAACCAGAAAACAGCAAAGCTAAGCCTACCCAGGCAGCATTTCAAAGTACACTCCCTCCTGCCTGCTGCCTTCTGGGCTTTCTGTTTTAGTGTCCCAGTTTCAGATTATTATAGGACACTCTGGAAGAGAATACCTTAGGGCCTTTCAGAAGCGCTGCCCCAGGAGCAGGTGGGCGTGCATAGGAACCTCTGTCTGTGGACACTTCTGCACTTACAGACACTGCAGTCTGCTGTGTGGAAGAGGATGCAGCATTTTTAGATAGTCTGAGACATAGGGAAGCAGCAGCTATTCCTGGGAGGCCTTTCCCATGCCTGGGGGATGAGGACAGGTTGTCTGAGTCAGGACCTAAGTTATGTAAGGAGAAGGAAGGTCAGAGAGGGCACCATATACCCATTGCTGGCCTAGGCAGTGCCTCACAGTTGAGGGTCATAGGCCAGACACTGTGCTCAGCGTTCTTTGTGCTCATGCAGCTTTTGAAATTGAGCTATAATTCACCTATCTTAAGATTCACCCTCTTAAAGGGTACAGTTTGGTGAGTTTTAGCATATTCACAATGTTGTGCAACCATCTCCGCTGTCTAATTCCAGAACATTTTCGTCACCCATGAAAGATACCCCATACCCATTAGCTGTCTCTTCTTATTCCCTTTCCTTCAGTCCCTGGCAGCCACTGATCTGCTTTCTGTGCGGTGAATGTGCCTATCCCAGACCGTTTGTGTAAGCGGAATTCTGTAACGTGGGCGCTTGTGTCTGGCTTCTTTGACTTAGCATCATGTTTCGAGGTTCCTCTGTGCTGTAGTGTGAGTGCTTCATTCCTTTTTCTGGCTGAATGATATTGTTCCTTTGTGTGGATTCATCATAGTTTGTTTATCTATTCATCTGTCCATGGATATTTAGGCTATTACCACCTTTTGGCAAGTGTTTGGGTTTTAATTCATGTGCAAGTTTTTATTTGAGCCCCTGTTTTCCATTTTCGTGGGTGTGTGTATATAGGGGTGAAATTGCTGGGTCCTAGGGTAACTGCCTTTAACTTTGGGAGGAACTGCTGGACTCGTCCAAGGTGGCAACACCATTTTACATCCCTGTGCTGGGTTTTACTAATTGCATTATCTCATTAGTTCTCACATCATGAGGTTTAGGTAGAATGTCTTCACTCTCACTTTTCAAATGGGAGTTTGAACTCAGAGGGTTTCTGCATGTAGCCACACAGCCGGTCAGTTGACGATTCTTTGGCCAGAGCTCGCTTTGACCATGAAAGCAGTCTCTTCTCCAGGCCATTTTGTATCTTCAGGGTGAGGCATTTTGACTTTGTTGTTCAGGTTCAGGTCCTGGGACCTGGCACACTTTGGCACTCACATATTTGTTCAATAAAATGTCATTCCCCCCCCCCCAACCCCGATCTTGTTGACTGGATCAGGAGCTTGAGGGAGGCAGCATGTCTTAGGGGCTCCTGTACTCTACAGGTTCTCACACTCCTGCCAGGTTCTGTGTTCCCCACTCCACCCCAGATTCTGTAGAATCCCTACCAGCCTCTAACTGTCAAGCAGCCACAGATGTACCACAGTGGGAATGGGTGGCATGACCTCTGCTGAGCAGAGGCAACATCTCTTTCCAGTGAATGCATGCTGTTAACTTCAGCTGTTCTCTCTCTCTGGAGTTGAAGGCTGCTGATGATCTGCCCTCTTTTTTCTCCTCTAGGCAAAACCCTTTTTTGGTGGTTGGCCACTTCTGGCTCCAGATGGGACCAACTTTAACAGCTTAGTGCACTGGTTTCAGGTAAGGGCATCAGAGCCAACTCTCAGGGTGGGAGGAACCAGAAAAAGGGGCCCATCCAAGGGTGAACTTGCAGAATGGAAGAGAGATGGAGAATTGAACAGTGGATCCTGGGGTGGCAGGATCAGCAGGACTCCTGCATTTGGTGCACTTGTATGTTGTACAGGAAAGGTCTCAATTATGCATAGTTATGTGTAGTGCTCCCTTCAGAGTGAGGAGCTCTCACGTGGGTGTTGCTTGTTTTGTGGGTAAGCCTGACTCTGGGAACAGTCAAATGAAAGAGGCAAAAGAGCAGTTGAAAAAAACGTTTGCGTTATGCTGAGCAGCTCCCAAGAAGCAGCTCCCAATTCGTTCCATGCCTCACCTCCCTTCCTCCTGAGCCAGGGGTTCAGCCCACTAGCACTAGTGAGGGGTTGGGGGCCCTGCTAGAGCTGGGACCACCATTGACCTAACCTGTGGTTTGTTTCTCTGCCAGGAAGTCCCTCTGGATTGGACTCCAGTTAAAACACTGTCCTTCCTCACATGGTCTCTTACAGTGCTGCCGCGCATCCCCTCCATCCCTGGAGCTCCCTTTTCCCTTCTTCTTAATTTCTGCTACTCACTCCCTCCCCACCCTGAATATTACATTTGGAGTAGGGGCCTTGGGCTGTGTACCCTGGTCCCACAGGCCTTGCATTGTGTCTCTGGTCTTTGGGATTCCTTCTGGAATGGGTTTTGATTTCAAAGGCAGCACATAAGGCCCTTGGAAATGCTCCTGGGAAACATGTTCAGGTGGCCTCTACACACCCAGCATGGAACAGCCCTCTACAAGGCCTCTTAGCAAGGCCCTTTGAGTCCCTGTTCATGCCACCCAGACGGGAGGACTCAGGAATCACTGGTCCAACCAGACTACAGTGTCCAGGGAGTAGTTCTCTTTTCTATTTTTATCAAGGTTGTACAAAATTGCCATTTCCAGCCTTTGACAGGAATCATTAGTATAAATTATAACCCCGGCCCAAAGCAGAGAGATGTACTTTCGTAGTCAGTTCATGTGGCCTTATTGCCAGTTAAACTTTGAGCATTATTGGGCTGTTTTCTTTTCTTTTCTTTTTTTTTGGAGACGGAGACTGGCTCAGTCGCCAGGCTGAGTGCAGTGGCATGATCTAGGCCCGCTGCAACCTCCGCCTCCCAGGTTCAAGGGATTCTCCCGCCTCAGTCTTCCAAGTAGGTGGGACAACAGGTGTGTGCCACCACACCTAGCCAATTTTTGTATTTTTAGTAGAAACAGGGTTTCACCATGCTGCCCAGGCTGGATTGTGCTTTTTGAAATGTTGAAAATAGGTCATGGTCCCTTGTGATGATTTGGGGCTGGGAGCTGTGCCTGTCATTCATGACCTGGGTCAACACTGTTGCATTATGGACAAGGCCCTTCTCCCCACACAGAGGAAGACATACTCCTTTTCATTTTGGCTTCTGGTGGCATCTGACCACCATGGGCACTTCCCAGTGGTCTGACTTTTGGATGGAGAATAGAGCAGGAGACACTCTGCCAGTTATCACTCCTTGGATATTAGAATTATTTCCACTGGTCTTGCTGCTTCTCTGTTTTGATTTTCATTAGCTCATTTTACCTCAGTGAATTCTGGATCCTGGCTGTCTTTGTGCCTCCTCTTTCCCAGTGGATTATAAGAACAACCTTTTTTATAGCAGCTTCCCAGATTTTTTTCAGAAGTGGTGAATCCGTGCCTTGGCATTCCTGGGTTATTCCATGTCATGTCAGATCATTTATCAAATAAATATTGACACATATCATGTGATGCATTCTGTGCTGGGTGCCAGAAGGAATACAAAAAGGTAACCTCACGTTGTTTCTGCTCCTGAGGAGCTTCCAATTATTAAAAAAAAAAAAAGAAGCTTCTTATTAAGCCTCAATCACACATGTGATTTGGGCCTTTCTCCCAGCCCAGGCCTCGCTGATGAATCTGCATCTTATGCCTTGGGTCCCTCCTTTCCTGCCACCTGCCCCAGAAGTAGAATCTGTGGAACCACCTTCCTTAGATATGAGCTTGTCAGACATGGGAACTCCACAACCCAAGCTCCAGGGCCAGGACCCAGATCCTCCTAACCACCCACCTTGTGCTCTGTTGCAGAAATGGCAGCAACAGTTCTTCATCCTTTATGAGCACGGCCTCTTGCACTACACCCTGGATGAGATGGTAAGTGTCATCCTCACCCACCCCCTTTCCCCAGCCTTCGGCCAAGTCCCTTTATCACTGTGTCCTTTGCGTTGTTGTGTGAGAGCACAGCAGCCATGTGCTCCCGTTTGTGCTTCTGTTTTTTGTCGCAATGTTTTAAAGAACTTGTGGCACCTTGCAGAGACGGCCCTAAAAACCCAGACCTTTGGTTTGAAGCATCATCTTCTGTGGTCTTGAGTGAGAGGAAGAAGTGAGGGAGGAAGTCATTTCTGTTCAAGGCTAATAGTGTGGACTTGGCTGGAGCACTCCTGGTTAGGGGAAAGCAAGGGCAAAGTCCTGAGTCACAGTGAGGACAGGTGCAGGCTGTGGACCTGTAGGCGTGGGGCAGGGACTGGCCCTGGAGCTGGCACACGTGCTCACATGCCTAGTCCTGGGGCTGCCTGTCAGTCCCGTGGCTGCAGTTGGTTTTGCTTGTCTCATTTGAGCTTCACGTAGTTTTCTGAGCTGACTTCAGAGGCCTCCTTGCCACAAGGTCAGTGTTTTTTGTTGTTGTAGTTGTTGTTTTAGAGAGGGAGTCTCACTCTGTCTCCCAGGCTCGAGTGCAGTGGCATGATCTCGGCTCACTGCCAACCTTTGCCTCGCAGGTTCAAGTGATTCTCCTGCCTCAGCCTCCTGAGTAGTTGGGGTTACAGGCACTCACCATCATGCCTGGCTAATTTTTGTATTTTTAGTAGAGACTGGGTTTTGCCATGTTGGTCAGGCTGGTCTCGAACTCTTGACCTCAGGTGATCCGCCTGCCTCAGCTACCCAAAGTGCTGAAATTACGGGCGTGCTCCTCTCCCCAAGGTCATTGCTTTTTGCTCACTAAACCAGGCAGACAAGGTCTTCCTGCTCCCCACCTCCCTGGTTTTCCAGCTGCCTCCTGGACCAGATGAGCTTTTGCTGCTGTTGCCCCAGAGACCAAACCTGGAAATCAACTACGTGGAATTTCTAGCTTTTCTTTTTCCACATATTTTATCTCTGGACTTTTTCTCTAAAAGAGATTAGTCTCTCCTAACTAATCTAAAGTAGGACTGCATTCTAAACTGTGTAAAGGGTTGGAGATGGGAGATTTGATTGCCTTTTCCAGTTCCACTTGGTGGGTGAGTGTTTGTGTGCACATTTCTGCAGCGTTTTAAAATTGCAACTGTCCTGGAAAGTCTAGTCACACTATATAAAACAGGCACCCTCTGCCTATCCTACCCAGTTTGTAGCTAGGACTGCAGGTGTGCACCACTGCACCTGGCTAATTCTTTTATTTTTAGTAGAGACAGGGTTTCGCTATGTTGCCCAGGCTGGTCTTGAACTTTCTTGCCTCAAGTGATCCTCCCATCCTGGCCTCCCAAGTGCTGAGATTACAGGCATGAGCCACCATGCCCAGCCAGTGACATAGATCTTTTAATATGTTATCTTTAAAAAATATGCTCTGTTGGGTTTTTTGTTTGTTTGTTTTTGGTCTGTGTATATGTTTATATTTACCTAATATAGTATTATAGTTTAGACTTCTTTCCCCTCCCCTCCCCTCTTCTCCTCTCCCCTCTCCTCCCCTCCCCTTCTCCTCAGAGTCTTGCTCTGTTGCCTAGGATGGAGTGCAGTGGTGCAATATCAGCTCATTGCAACCTACGCCTTCCAGGTTTAAGTGATTCTCCTGCCTCAGCCTCCAGAATAGCTGGGATTGTAGGCACTCACTACCATGTCTGGCTAATTTTTGTAATTTTACTACAGATAGGGTTTTGCCATGGTGGCCAGGCTGGTCTCAAACTCCTGGCCTCAAGCAGTCTGTCCACCTTGGCCTCCCAAAGCACCAGGCCTAGACTTCTTTATTTTCCATAAATTCTTTCACTTAGCACAGATGTTGGCAAACCCATGAGCCACATCTAGGCTGCAGCCTTCTTTTTTTTTTTTTTTTGAGACAGAGTTTTGCTCTTATTACCCAGGCTGGAGTGCAATGGCGCGACCTCGGCTCACTGCAACCTCCGCCCCCTGGGTTCAGGCAATTCTTCTCCCTCAGGCCCCTGAGTAGCTGGGACTACAGGCACGCACCACCATGCCCAGCTAGTTTTTTGTATTTTTAGTAGAGACGGGGTTTCACCATGTTGACCAGGATGGTCTCGATCTCTTGACCTCGTGATCCATTCGCCTCAGCCTCCCAAAGTGCTGGGATTACAGGCGTGAGCCACGGCGCCCGGCCGCTGCAGCCTTCTTTTGTAAATAAAGTTTTATTGAAACACAGCTACGTGTTCACTTATACATTGCCCATGGCTGTTCTTACACTTCTAGAGAAGAGTTGAGTGGTTGCCACAGAGACCATTTGGCCTGCAAAGTAGAAAATATTTACCATCTGGCCCTTTATAAAAAAAGGTTGTTAACCCCTGACTTAGCACATTATTTTCTTTTTCGTTCTAATTGTGGTAAAATATGCATAACACAAAATTTATCATTTTAACCATCTTAAGTATATAGTCAGTGGTATTATGTCCATTCACACTGTTGTAAAGCCATCATCACCTGGACATTTGCAGTTTGCAAAACGGAAACTATGTGCCGATTATACAGCTCCCCATTCCTCCCTGCCCCTATGCCCTGGCAACCACCATTTCCCTTTTTGTTCCTCTGAGTTTGACTATTCTTGATTCCTCATATAATGGAAGTCATATTGTATTTGTGTTTTTGTTGCCCGGCCTCTCAGCATAAGGTCCTCAAGATTCATCCCTGTTGCAGTGCACTTCAGAATCCCCTTCCTTTTTAAGGCTGAATCATATTCCATGGTGTGTATACAGCACATGTGTTTGGTCCATTCATGCACTGATAGACACATGCATTGCTCCCACCTTTTGGCTTCTGCAAATAGTGCTGCTTTCAACATGGGTGTTCAAATATCTCTTCAAGACCTTTATTTTGCTTCTTTGGGGCATATGATCTGTTTATGTCTGTTGCCCGTTTGTTAATCAGTTTGGGGTTTATTTTTCTTTTCAATTTGTATGAGCTCTTTATAACTGGAAGATTATTCATTTTCTATCAGTTGTGTCTGTAACAAATTTTCTTTCTTTTAAAATTTTATGTATTATTAAAAATGTTTTATTGTAAAAGCAAATTATATTAAGCAACACATAACACATTTACATAATTCAGAAGTTAACACAACTGAAAGTGAGCCCACTTCTTCTCCTTAGTCAAGTTCCCCAGAGCTGTCCCACTTCTTAAGCATTTCTGGCCACAGCTCTGATGATTGTCGCCAGAGCTTTATTCCTACACTTCTTATGCTTAACCAGTAATGGTTGACTCCCTGTTGGAAAGATGAAGAATCAGCTCACTTTGCATGACATCTCTCCCTTCCCTGCAGTTTTTTTTTCTGTTTATAGTTCTCTTTGTGGCCTTTAAAACTTCAGATAATAAGCGTAGACCTCTATTTCTTGGTCTGTCAACTTTATACAGGGTCTATAGACCCCATGACCTGACCCCTAAGTTGTAAGATAAGGAACATGGGGTCCTTATATTTCTTTCCATCTCTCTCTCTCTCTCTCTCTTTTTTTTCCCCAAAGACAGGGTTTCACCATGTTGGCCAGGCTGATCTTGAACTCCTGACCTCAGGGTGATCCACCTGCCTCAGCTTCTCAAAGTGCTGAGATTACAGGCCTGAGCCACCACACCCGGCCTTCTTTCCATCTCTCTTTCCATTTGCCTCCCGAATTCCATACACTGCTTCACAGCCACGCACATGCCATGAGCCAGGCACGATGCGTAACACTTCACAAATGGGACTCATGAGCTCCTCACTGCAGTGCTATATGAGAGATTTACTGTTCTTCCCCTCTAGTCACAGACAAGGAAACTAAGGCCCAGAGAGTATCATTCGTCCAAGTTCAAGGAAGTAATTGGCTAGGATTTGAGCCCAGGGACCTGGCTCCAGAGGTTATGGTCTTAATCGCAGTCATATGCTACCTCTCAGCTATCTCACTGTTTTTATTTTGTGAAGTAACAACATGTGAATTGTATTCTCTAATCGTTACTATGTCTTTTATGTGTTAGGGGTTGCCTGAAAAACAACATTCATAATATTATGACTTTTGTAAATATGATTATTTACAGATCCAAATGTGCTCTTGAATCAGACAAGGAAATGCAAAGCCAGTAGCCACCAGGACAACCACTTGAACGAGGCTTTTACAAGAGAAAGATGCAATGCATTATTTTTTCTTGCTTTTGTCACTTGATCAAAATCGTATCATAGTTTGTTTCATATTTAGGCCATGACTTTTCTTGTGTAGCTCATTTATTTTTCTGGCAATTTTAATAATCTTTATTTCTTATTGTTGGAGCAGCATGAACCCTCATCTCAATACTAAGATGATCCAGTGTGTAAACATGCTGTTAAGTATGAGTGCATTTTTTTCTTGAATGCCTCAGGGCTCTTTGATTCCTTGTTTTAATTTGTATCTAGGCTGGGCGTGGTGGGTCACGCCTGTAATCCTAGCACTTTGGGAAGCCAAGGCAGGGAGATCAGCTGAGGTCAGGAGTTTGAGACCAGCCTGGCCAACATGGCAAAACCCTGTCTCTACTAAAAATACAAACTTAGCTGGGAGTGGTGGCATGCGCTTGTAATACCAGCTACTTGGGAGGCTGAAGCAGGAGAATTGCTTGAACCTGGGAGGTGGAGTTTGCAGTGAGCTGAAATTGTACCACTGCACTCCAGCCTAGGCGACAGAGGAAGACTCCGTCTCAAAGAAATATATATATATATATAAATTTTTATCCATTGATTTCTAGACTTTTTTCTAGCTTGTTGCACAGCTGTCATTCCAGAATTTCTCTCATTGTCCTCCTGAATGAAATCTACAATTTCTTTGATCCCATTTCTTCCTCTTTCTTAGATTCCTTAAAAATATTTTTTTTCTTCTGATCTAGCAGCAGCCAAATTAAAATTTTTAAAAATTTGCTCTGGAATATTTGGTCAAAAACTCGTTCCTAAGATTATATGGAAAGTAAATCACATGCCATGCACATTTGAAAGTCTTTATTTTCCTCTTAGACTCGTTTAATAATTTGGCTGAGTATAGGATTGTAGGTTCAAAATAACTTTCCTTTGAATTTTGAGGATGTTGCTCTGTGTCAGTCTGGTGTTCAGAGTTACTGATGTGAAGTCTGATCAGAATGTGGTTCTTGTTCCTTTGTAGGCAGCGTGATTTTTCTATTTGAAAGTTTTAACATTTATTTATTTATCTTTATAGTTCTGAAATCTCACAAGAGTGCATTTCTTTGAGGATACTTTTTAATTCCTGCTTAGTACTTGGTATACCCTTCCAGTCTGAAGACTTGTGTTTTTCTTCAACTCTGGGAAATTTAAAAAATACTTTCCCTTTCTGTAAGTTCTTTTCTGTTCTCTCTTTTTAAATTTCTTATTTTATCCTGCATTACCTTTTAAATATCCCTGTGGATGCTACATTGAAACTTTAAATGTTCTTCTGTGTTCCTCAAGTCATCTATTTTATTTCCTCTGAGAAATAAAATTGACTTTTTCTTATCTTTATCCGTTTTGGGGATGTGTGCTTCAGTCTTCCTCAGAGCTCTGGTGATCTTACTAGTCTGTTTATACTTAGGAATGAATGAGTACATTTGTTCATCAAACAAATGGCTGGCATGGATTTCCTCTCCTGTTATTTGGAGATTTTTCTCCAATAGGCCTCTCCCGCGAATGGGAAGTAATAGTGGGGAGCTCAGTATCAAGGTGGTACCTGTCAAGTGACATCTTCATTTTAGGGTTTATGGGTGAAGATTGGGCAGTAGGCAGCTTAACCTCCTGACCCCTGTCCCACCCTATCCCCATGTCCTACCTGTTCCCCAAAACAAAAGAATAAGGGCTTGACTTGCACCACAAAGGAAGCTCTACATTTGGCTTTTCTGAGTCTGCCCAGCCTTTCTGTGTGTGGTAAGGCTAAGGAAGGATGGGTCGTAGGGCCTGGCTGTCCTGTCCCTGTCCCTATGGTGAATCTCCCTGACTGCTCTTCTTCACAGCCTCAGTGGGGAAGCAGGGCTTTTGCGCTCCTGGAGCTCTACTGGGAAGAAGGAGGGTGAGCCAGCATTCCATTCATGTTCTGGGCTATGGCTTCCTGTGTTTCTATCCTGGATCATGGCTTTGGAGCCTGCTTTCCCTCTTCCAAAGCTGACCTACTCTTGTTCTCAGTGTTGTTAATGAATTTATTTTCCATTAAGCATGGAGATTTATTTTCCATTAATGGTGTTTGCCGAGGGAAGGGAGTTAGGCTTGTGATTAATTCATTGTGAACTAGAAGCCAGTTATGTGTACTTCAGACATACAAATCTTAAGAGATTTTTTCTTTTTCTTTTTTTTTTTTTTTTTTGAGATGGAGTGTTGATTTTGTTGCCTAGCCTGGAGTACAATGGTGCGATCTTGGCTCATCGCAACCTCCACCTTCCAGGTTCAAGTGATTCTCCTGCCTCAGCCTCCCAAGTAGCTAGGATTACAGGCATGCACTGCCACACCCGGCTAATTTTGTATTTTTAGTTTAGGCGGGGTTTCTCCATGTTGGTCAGGCTGGTCTTGAACTCCTGACCTTAGGTGATCTGCCCACCTTGGCTTCCAAAAGTGCTGGTATTACAGGTGTGAACAACCACACCAGGCCAAGAGATTTTTATATACTCAGATCTGTTTTTTTTTTTGAGACAGAGTCTTACTCTATAGCCCAAACTGGAGTGAAGTGGCATAATCTTGGCTCACTGCGACCTCTGCCTCCGAACTCAAGCAATTCTTGTGCCTCAACCTCCTGAGTAGCTGGGACTACAGGTGCGAGCCACCACGTCTGGCTAATCTTTTGTATTTTAGTTGAGATGGGGTTTTACCATGTTGCCCAGGGTGGTCTCGAACTCCTGAGCTCAGGCGATCTGCCCACCTTGGCCTCCCAAAGAGCTGGGATTACAGGCATGAACCACCACTCCTGGCCTCAAGTTCTTAAACTTAGCAATCTATCTATCTATCTATATTTTTAATTATTATTATTATTATTTTGAGACAGAGTTTTGCTCTTGTTGCCCAGGCTGGAGTGCAATGGTGAAATCTTGGCTCACCGAAACCTCCGCCTCCCAGGTGCAAGCGATTCTCCTGCCTCCTTGGTAGCTGGGATTACAGGCATGTGCCACCATGCCCAGCTAATTTTGCATTTTTAGTAGAGACAGGGTTTCTCCATGTTGGTCAGGCTGGTCTTGAACTCCTGACCTTAGGTGATCCGCCCACCTCAGTGTCCCAAGGTGCTGGGATTGCAGGTGTGAGCCACCGCACCTGGTCTCAATATTTATTTTTATCAACTTAACTTAGTCTAGTTTTCAAAACAGTAATGAATTAGAAGGCCATTGGGAAGATGCTTCTAGTAGGAATGAGAAGTAGAGCTGATGTATGAATGATTAAAAGCAAATGTGGGAGCCCAAAGCTAAGTTGTCTGTACAACCCACGTTACCCTCACAGCCTCTGGGGGCAGCATTGTCTTGCAGGATCATGATAGGGGCCAAGAAGATGGCCCCAAAGGTTGAGTGGTGGTCTATTGAGGAAGCAAAGAAGGTTATAGCTTTAGATGATCAGAAACAATGATTAAAATTAAGCCTTTGCATTTGAAGGGGCCTATTTCAATTTACTGGGTAATAAGACATATGGAATGTTTCATCCATCCTACCATAGATAAGATATTGTCGTGGAGTCAGATTTCATTAATATCTGAGATTCCTATAGTGTACCAGGCATGGTTCTAAGTGATTTTTCACATGAGTCAAAAGCCAGATGTGGAGCTTCCTCTGTTGTGCAAGTCAAGCCCTTCTTCTTTTGTTTTGGGGAACAGGTGGAACATGGGGATAGGGTGGGACAGGGGTCAGGAGGTTAAGCTGCCTACTGCCCAATCTTCACCCATAAACCCTAAAATGAAGATGTCACTTGACAGGTACCACCTTGGTACTGAGCTCCCCACTGTTATTTCTCATTCGCGGGAGAGGCCTATTGGAGAGAAATCTCCAGATAACAGGAGAGGAAATCCATGCCAGCCATTTGTTTGATGAACAAATGTACTCATTCATTCCTAAGTATAAACAGACTAGTAAGATCACCAGAGCTCTGAGGAAGACTGAAGCACACATCCCCAAAACGGATAAAGATAAGAAAAAGTCAATTTTATTTCTCAGAGGAAATAAAATAGATGACTTGAGGAACACAGAAGAACATTTAAAGTTTCAATGTAGCATCCACAGGGATATTTAAAAGGTAATGCAGGATAAAATAAGAAATTTAAAAAGAGAGAACAGAAAAGAACTTACAGAAAGGGAAAGTATTTTTTAAATTTCCCAGAGTTGAAGAAAAACACAAGTCTTCAGACTGGAAGGGTATACCAAGTACTAAGCAGAAATTAGAAAGTATCCTCAAAGAAATGCACTCTTGTGAGATTTCAGAACTATAAAGAGATAATTTTACAAATTCTTTATATACTTAAATTTATACTGTTAAATCTTATTTTGCATAATGTAGCTAAGTTGAATTGTCTTGATAGTGTGTGTGTAGCCAATAAAGGAAATGTTTTGCCCTCAAATACAGCTTCATTACAAAGTTCTGCTGCAATGCATGTGGTACAGAGAGTAGGCAGGGCAACTGTCATGCTTCTTTACCTGCAAAGAAATCGGTTGTCACACAGCTGAGCAATTTGTCCACAGTCACACAGCTAGGATGTAAGCGAGCCACTTCTAGAACTCAGCTGTCCGAGTCTGACCTAAGTTTCCATTTAGTTAGATGCTAGGGCACTGATACGCCAATTTTCAGGTTTTATGACTGTGATTTATGCTTTTTTTTTTTTTTTTTGATATGGAGCTTTCCTCTTGTTACCCAGTCTGGACCTCAATGGTGCGATCTTGGCTCACTGCAACCTCCGCCTCCCAAATTCAAGTGACTCTCCTGCCTTAGCCTCCCGAGTAGCTGGGATTACAGGCATGCGCCACTAAGCCTGGCTAATTTTGTATTTTTAAGTAGAGGTTTCTCCGTGTTTGTCAGGCTGGTCTTGAACCCCTGACCTCAGGTGAGCCACCATGCCTGGCGTTTTTGTTTTTTTTTTTATAGTAGTGATGGGCTTTCACCATGTTGGCCAGGCTAGTCTTGAACTCCTGACCTTGTGATCCACCCACCTTGGTCTCCCAAAGTGCTGGGATTACAGGTGTGAGCCACAGTGCCTGGCTGACAAGTTATGCTTCTTAATTCTCAGGTACCCAGTGTCTGAGTGGGCAACACTCTGCAGGTAGGGAATGTGGAGCAGGCCCAGTGCTTCTGTACCACGGTTCTCCTGTGTGCTGGTGAGTCAAGCATTCTACTCCCTGGTATCTGTGCTGAACTTAGTATGCTAAGTTAAAATCTATGTATCCGACTTTCTCTAGGAATTGAATTTCAACTAAAATCTCTATTCTTTATGTTCTTTCCAATTTACAAAGTTAAATAAAGCTTTTAATTATGATTTTCTCTTATGATAAACCAACTAAATAATGTTACACTTGGTACTACTGAAATAATTCTAAAGGCAATTGTTAGCATGCACAGTTTTCTGTTATGACCATAGCCTGAGTTGCTGCTTCTCCATGTTCCTGGACCACTGCCTCCTCCGGTAGTTGCAGCATGCTGGAATCTGAGCAGTTAGAAATGGTGCTGATTTTGCTGACTTCATATCCAGCATCTCTTCTCTAAGTCTCCCTTAGTAAAAGGAGTCAGAATCATCTGACTGGCGGGGTATGGTGGCTCACGCCTGTAATCCCAGCACTTTGGGAGGCCAAGGTAGGCTGATCACTTGAGCTCAGGAGTTTAAGACCAGCCTGCGTAACACAGGGAGACCCCCATTATTAGAAAAAATACAAAAATTAGCCAGCATGGTAGTGCACTCTTGTAGTCTCAGCTACTTGGGAGGCTGAGGCAGGAGAATCATCTGAGCCCAAGAGTTCGAGGCTGCGGTGAGCTGAGACTGTGCCACTGCACTCCAGGCTGGGTGACAGAGTGAGACCCTGCCTCAAAAAAAAAAAAAAAAAAAAAGAATCATCTGAACTTTGATTTTTTCATAGACAATAAGAAAAGACTATTTACATGGTTACATTTCTTAAATCATTGACACAAATATCTCATGGGAACTCAGCCCCAGTACCTGCCACACTCTGGACAATTGCCATTTCCTGGTGCTGCTTCTGTATTTTCCAGGTGTTCGCCCACTTGCAGTAGGACTTTTACTCGCAGCTTTGAAGGCTGTGGTTGCCTATGTATTCACCAGTGACAAGTATGTATTCATCTAGAAAAATGTCTTTAGTTTTATGCTTTCTTTTATATTTTTCTGATTATGAGAGGTAAGCAGCATTTTCCTTCACAGGAAAAACTGTAGTACAGCCAGGAATGAGAAGCATAGCACTAAACTTGAATGGATTTCAATGAAATGAAAGTCATTCCCCACTCTTTCAATACCCGATTTATCAAACATGAGTAGAGTTGTACTGGTGGCACCTGTTGACCAGCAGGCTTCCTTTAGAGCAAGTAGGAGGGACAGGACATCTTTACCTTGGGGAGGGCACTGTGGCCCATTTCATGTGTTTACCCTCTAGATCCATCTCATGAGGCTGCCTCTGCCATGTCCCTCTCCAGAGCCCCAGTATCTTTCTGCAGAGCTCCCCAGGCCCATCTTCCACCATAACTGAACAGAGCTCAGTGGCTCCCTGAGGAAGCAAATGCTTCCTGTGTGAATACTGGCCTTCGACTCCATTTTTGAGGATGATTCCCACTCAGGCTGAAACCTGTATCAAGTTCTTCCCAATCCCACATTTATATATCCAAAAACAGAGTTTTTGGAATTATCCTCTATAGTGGCAGCCTTGTCCCTTTTAACCTAAATTCTGTATAGTAATAAATTTTAAATCAGTGAGGTTTTATTATGTACTGACTTTGTAAAAAAAGTAATGTACTGTTTTGACAACTTACTGATAAATTTGTCAGGTTTGTCAGATCAGTAGTTAATTAACACCCCACTTTAATGTGATTTTTAGATCACTAGCTACTTTCTTTTCCTCTTACAGAGATATTACTTCCCTTGTGAGCCAAGTGATGCCTATTTTTGCTCCTTTTCATCTATTTGATGCACTTGCAGTATTTGGAGTGATTTTACTCTAATAAAGATAGCAAAATTTGTTTTGTGTTTCTAGCTTTTTAATTAAAAATTAAATGTCAGTGATTTTGTTTTTAAAAAGAGAAAGCTCTTGGTTTAGACAGTATGCGTCACTTGAGGGAAGATGGGTTATTAGAGAATGTAACCTCTCAAGGTGGAGAAGAGGCTTGGAGTCAAGAGAGTTCTCCCCTTCTCTAACTTCATCTGGTGCCTGAACACCAGGTGTTGTATACAAGTGGTGAGGCAACTTCTGCTTGAACCCTGTACTGCAGGCCATGCCACCTTTGAGTTGACTCTGACCACTAGAAAGTCCCTGTCTAGAGGGGCATTTCTCCCATGTTATCCCTCCCCAACCTCCCTACCCCACGCTGTCCCTCCCCTAGTCCCTGCAAACAGGCCCCAGTGTGTGATGCTCCCCTCCCTGTGTCCATGTGTTCTCATTGTTCAACACCCGCCTATGAGTGAGAACATGTGGTATTTGTTTTTCTGTTCTTGTGTCAGTTTGCTTCCAGATTCCAGATTCATCCATGTCCTTACAACGGACACAAACTCATTGTTTTTTATGGCTGCATAGTATTCCATGGTGTATATGTGCCACATTTTCCTTGTCCAGTCTATCATCAATGGGTATTTGGGTTGATTCCAGGTATTTGCTATTGTAAACAGTGCCTCATGAACATATGTGTACATGTGTCTTTATAATAGAATGATTTTTAATCCTTTGGATATATACCCAGTAATGGGATTGCTGGGTCAAATGGAATTTCTATTTCTAGGTCCTTGAGGAATCGCCACACTATCTTCCACAATGGTTGAACTACATTATAGTCTACCAACAGTGTAAAAGTGTTCCTATTTCTCCACATCCTCTCCAGCATCTGCTGTCTCCAGATATTTTAATGATGACCATTCTAACTGGCATGAGATGGTATCTCAATGTGGTTTTGATTTGCATTTCTCTAATGATCAGTGATGATGAGCATTTTTTCGTTATGTTTGTTGGCCTCATAAATGCCTTCTTTTGAAAAGTATCTGTTCATGTCCTTTGCCCACTTTTGATTTTTTTTTTTTTTTTTTTGGTAAATCTGTTTTAGTTCTTTGTAGATTCTGGATATTAGACCTTTGTCAGATGGGTAGATTGCAAAAATTGTTTCCCATTATGTTGGTTGCTGGTTCATACTAATGATTGTTTCTTTTGCTGTACACAAGCCCTGGAGTTTAATTAGATCCCATTTGTCTATTTTGGCTTTTGTTGCCAATGCTTTTGGTGTTTCAGTCATAAAGTCCTTACCTATGCCTATGTCCTGAATGGTTTTGCCTAGGTTTTCTTCCAGGGTTTTTATGGTGTTATACCTTATGTTTAAGTCTTTAATCCATCTGGAGTTAATTTTAGTGTAAGGTGTCAGAAAGGGGTCCAGTTTCTGCTTTCTGAATATGGCTAGCCAGTTTTCCCAACACCATTTATTAAACAGGGAATCCTTTCCCCATTGCTTGTTTTTGTCAGGTTTGTCAAAGATCAGATGGTTGTAGATGTGTGGTATTGCCTCTGAGGCCTCTGTTCCGTTCCATTGGTCTATGTCTCCATTTTGATACCAGTACCATGCTGTTTTGATTATACAAAGCTGTAGCTTTGTAGTATAGTTTGAAGTCAGGTAGCATGATACCTCCAGCTTTGTTCTTTTTGCTTAGAATTGACTTAGATATGCTGGCTCTCTTTTGGTTCCATATGAAATTTAAGGTGTTTTTTTCCAGTTCTGTGAAGAGGGTCATAGGTAGCTTGATGGGGATAGTGTTTAATCTGTAAATTACTTTGGGAAGTATGGCCATTTTCACAATATTGATTCTTCCTAACCATGAGCATGGAATATTTTTCCATTTGTTTGTGTCCTCTCTTATTTCGTTGAGCAGTGGTTTGTAGTTTGCCTTAAAGAGGTCCTTTAAATCCTTTGTCGGTTGTATTCCTAGGTATTTTATTCTCTTTGTAGCAATTGTGATTGGCAATTTGTTCTTGATTTGGCTCTCCTTAAGTCTGTTATTGGTGTATAGGAATGCTTGTGCTTTTTGCACATTGATTTTGTATCCTGAGACTTTGCTGAAGTTGCTTATCAGTTTCAGGAGATTTTGGGCTGAGACCATGGGGTCTTCTAGATATACAATCATGTCGTCTGCAAATAGAGACAATTTGACTTCCTCCTTTCCTATTTGAATAACCTTTATTTCTTTTTCCTGCCTGATTGCTCTGGCTAGAACTTCCAATATTATATTGAATAGGAGTGGTGACAGAGGGCATCCTTGTCTAGTGCCTGAATTCAAAGGGAATGCTTCCAGTTTTTGCCCATTCAGTATGATATTGGCTGTGGGTTTGTGGTAAACAGTTTTTATTATTTTGAGATAAGTTCCATCAATACCTAGTTTATTGAGGGTTTTTAGCATAAAAGGCTGTTGAATTTTGTCGAAGGCCTTCTCTGCATCAATTGAGATAATCATGTGGTTTTTGTCTTTGGTTCTGTTTATGTGGTGGATTATGTTTATAGACTTGTGTATGTTGAACCAGCCTTGTATCCCCGGGATGAAGCCTACTTGATCGTGATGGATAAGCTTTTTGATGTGCTGTTGCAATCGGTTTGCCAGTATTTTATTGGAGATTTTTGCATCTATGTTCACCTTGGATATTGGCTTGAAGTCTTTTTTTCTTGTTGAGTGTCTGCCGGGTTTTGGTATCAGGATCATGTTGGTCTCATAAAATGATTTGGGAAGGATTCCCTCTTTTTAGATTATTTGGAATAGTTTCAGAAGGAATGGTACCAGCTCCTCTTTGTATGTCTGGTAGAATTCGGCTGTGAAGCCATCTGGACCTGGGCTTTTTTTGGTTGGTAGGCTATTAATTGCTGCCTCAACTTCAGTCCTTGTTATTGGTCTATTCAGAGTTTTGACTTTTTCCTAGTTTAGGCTTGGGAGGGTGCCAGTGTCCAGGAATTTATCCATTTCTTCCAGGTTTACTAGTTTTGTTCATAGAGTTGTTTGTAGAAATCTCTGATGATGGTTTGAATTTCTGTGGAATCTGTGGTGATATCCCCTTTATCGTTTTTTACTGCATCTATTTGATTCTTCTTTTTTTTTTATTAATCTAGCTAGTGGTCTATTTTGTTGATCCTTTTTTAA